TGCTCTTAACTGCTGAGCCATCCCTCCAGCCCCTTATTCTGAATTCAGATGAATTACAGTGGAACTCTCATGTACTTTCATCTGGCTGGGTGTAGTAGTATGCACTTGTATTCCCAGTACTTGGAAAGCTGAGGCAGGATAATCTCAAATTAGAGACCAGTCCATGCTACATAGTGAGACATTGTCTCAAAACAAAAATATATACACCTTCACCAAGTTTCTTATGTCTTCCATAGCTTTGGTACATTTCTCAAATCCAAAAAATTGACTTTAGAGACATGCTATTAAGTAAACTATAAACTTTATTCAAATTTCGTCAGTTTTTCACTAATGACAGAGGGTTGCTTTTCCTTTTGAAGAACAGTGGAAAATGTTCACATAAACACATGAAATGACTGACCTATGTTAAAGAGCACCTACATTTTACCATACAAAGTAAAAGAACCATTTGAGAGCAAATTAGTAAATTTCTTCCTATAGGAAATAGTAGAGTTGGGTTGCATGGTAGCCTGGTTCCCAGAAATGTCCTCTTTACCCAGCTCTTGCACTTCTCCCCAGGACACAGGGATGCAGACTAGCGATACCCCTTAGTTGTAGTTTCAGGTTCTTCTTAGGCACACGCCACCCCATTTTTTGAAATATGTGCCATGTGGGCACGCAGTTGGTCAATGTCAGTTTCTCTTTTCTGAGACGCTTAGCCTAGGAATTTCTTTCCTCCCTTTGCGGCTGTGCCTACAGGCAGTTGATGTGTCCAGCCTCACTGCTGTGTCTTTTACCCTACCAGCAGCCAAATGTCTTATTTATTTTTTTGAGATATGGACTTGCTCTGTAGCTGCCCTGGAAACTCATTCTATAGCTCAGGCTGGTCTTGACTCACACTCTTCCTCCCTCGGCCTCTCAAGTGCTGAGATACACAGCTGTTATCCACCATACACAACTTCATCCTGCTGTAATTGAATTGAATTGAATTGAATTGTTTGGTTTTTTTGAGACAGGTTCTCTCTGTAACCTCAGCTGGCCTAGAACTCACTGTATAGACCAAGCTGTCCTTGATCTCACAGAGATCCACCTGCCTCTGCCTCCTGAGTGCTGAGATTAAAGGTATGCACCACCATGCCCAGCAATTCTTTGTGTGTGTGTGTGTGTTGTTTTTAATATTTTATTATTTTTATTTTATGTACCTGCCTCTGCCTCCTGAGTGCTGAGATTAAAGGTATGCACCACCATGCCCAGCAATTCTTTGTGTGTGTGTGTGTGTTGTTTTTAATATTTTATTATTTTTATTTTATGTATGTGCATGTTTGTGTGTGTGTGTGTGTGTGTTGTTTTTAATATTTTATTATTTTAATTTTATGTGTGTGCATGTATTGCCTGCATGTACGTAAGTGCACCCGTGTTGTGCAATGCCCGCAGAAGACAGAAGAGGCTGTCGGATCCCCTGGAATTGGAGTTACAGACAGTTGTTAGCTGCCTCGTGGGTGCTGGGATTCAAACCTGGGTCTTCTGCAAGAGCAGTCAGTGTTCTTAACCATTGAGCCATCTCTCCAACCCCCTGTTTTCGTTTTTGTTATATCATAAACATGTATCTGTATAAAAGAGAATCCAAATATTGTAAATCATTCTCTAAAAATAACTTGTTGGGCTTGGGAGAAAGTTCAGTCATTAAAAATATTTGCCTTGCAAAATGAGGATCTGAATTCAATTCCCAGAACCCATGCTTTAAAAAAGAAAACAAATCTGGAGTGGGGCTGGAGCAATGGCTCAGAGGTTAAGAGCACTTGGCTGCTCTTGCAGAGGACTTGGGTTCAGTTCCCAGCACCCACATGGCAACTAGCAACTGTCAGTAACTCCAGTTCCAAGGGATCAAATGTCCTTTTCTGGCCCCCACAGGTACTGCACACACATGACTTACGTACACTCAGACAAAACACTCATATACATAAAAATACAAATAAATTTAAAAACAATGTTTTTAAGTTGGGTGTGATAACACTCATAATCTCAGCACTAAGAAGATCAGAAATAGGAGGATCCCTGAGACTCCATGACCAGCCAGTCCAGCCTACTTGGTAAGCTTCAGGGCAGGGAGAGATCCTGTCTCAAAAAAAAAGGGGAGGGGGTGTTGGGGGCTAGGCATGATGGTACATAGTTCTAATCCCCTGCACTAGAGAAGAAGAGGCAGGTGGATGTCTGTGAGTTCAAGGTCAGCCTGGTCTACATAGTGAGTTCCAGGCGACCTGGGGCTACAGGGAGACCCTGTCTCAAAGAAAGAAAAGAAGAATGAAAGAAAAGAAAAAGGAGGGTCGTACCTGAGGAACAATTCTTGAATTCTTGAGGTTTTCCTCTTGCCTTCTCACACAAACATGAACACATGGGATATACACAAGCACACATGCAGGTAATTCTATAACACCCTGAAGTCTTTCTCATAGATGTTTTTCAGAATACTTCTTTTTTGTTTTGTTTATTTGTTTGTTTGTTTGTTTGTGTTTTGAGACAGGGTCTCCCTGTAGCCCCAGCTGGCCTGGAACTCTGTATGTAGATCAGGCTGCCCTAGATTGCACAGAGATCCACCCGCCTCTGCCTCCCAAGTACAGAGACTAAAGGCGTGCACCACCATGCCCAGGTCCAAAAGTATCTTATAAATATCTTTCTATGTCAATAAATATCCATTGATCCATGATATGTATCTGAGAAAAGTAGTGTCCAGTCATCAGAACAGAATACAGCTCGACCTCCCAGGGCTCCTGGGTAAAGACCCCTAGGGCAGGGAAAGGCCAAGCCCAGGTGACTCATCCATCCTGTAGCTGGAGGTGGAGGAACTAAGAGTGCTGCAGTGGGAAAGCGCTGCTCAGGATCTGTTGTGCAGATTGATCTCAGACTCCTAGGCTTGAAATTTGCCTGCCTCAGCCTCCCAGACAAGTATGTGGGACTTGCGCCATCATGCCTGACAGGAGCTGTTTTTCAATTCTCAGCATAAACCTTCTGTGTTTCTTCTGTCTCTGACCCATGCGCGCCTTCTTCAGTGAATCATCTGCTGGCTGTGATCTAAACACTAGAATCCGGCAGTTCTGAGGCTTAGTGTGTTCAGAAGAGTGACAGGGTGAGAGACTTAATTCCCAGTATAGCCACTAATCCTGCTTAATCCTTGAAGTCTTTCAGGACTGGGTGGCTTGTCCTTTCTTTTTAGATTGTCAAAATCTAGGGAGTCACAGACAGAAGGAATAGAGAGTGCAGAGGTACTGAAGGTCTCAAAAAGACAAGAAAAAACAAAAAAGATTGGGGAGGAAAAGATTGGATTTTTTTTTTTTTTTTTTGGTTTTTTTTGGAAAGGGTTTCCCTTTAGCCC